CCATATAAAATAAACCATGCAAACAGAATAACAGCAATTGAAATACACAATAAGAATGGGTATAGATATTGTTCTTGTCAGTGTGGGCACACTTGTTGGCTTGGCCCAAATTCCTGATAATATCGTTCTTTATTTTTCATTCCAGGCATCCATGGCCCATATAAAATAAACCATACAAACAGAATAACAGAAATTAAAATACACAATAAGAATGGGTATTAAGATTGTTCTGATCAGTGTGGTCACATTGGCTTGGCCCAAATTGCTGTTATTATCTTTCTTCATACTTTATTTCAGGCATCCATGGCCTATATAAAATAAACCATACAAACAGATAACAGCAATTAAAATACACAATAAGAATGGAGGATTTAGGCAGGAACGTGCTATTATGGAAGTATCATTGATGGCTATAAAGATTGTTGTGGTCAGCGTTGGCACACTTGTTGGCTTGGCCCAAATTTCTGTTAATATCTTTCTTTATTTCAGGCATCCATGGCCCAAATAAAGTAAACCATATAAACAGAATAACAGCAATTAAAATACACAATAAGAAAGGGAGGATTTAGGCAGGAACGTGCTATTATGGAAGTATCATTGATGGCTATTAAGATTGTTCTGGTCAGCGTTGGCACATTGGCTTGGCCCAAATTGCTGTTATTATCTTTCTTCATCCTTTATTTCAGGCATGCATGGCCCAAATAAAAAACCCTATACAAACAGATAACAGCAATTAAAATACACAATAAGAATGAAGGATTTAGGCAGGAACGTGCTATTATGGAAGTATCATTGATAGCTGTTAAGATTGTTCTGGTCAGTATGGTCACATTGGCTTGGCCCAAATTGCTGCCATCATCTTTCTTTATTCTCTATTTCAGGCATCCGTGGCCCAAATAAATATACAATATACATACAAATAGAAACAAAACCCACTAATTATGCAGAATGTGGGACTATTCATTATCCACTGCCTTCAAAGAAGAAGTCGAACCCCATAATAGCTAGCGTAGTAGTAGAAGTAGACGTTTTTTCCAGACAGTTGTTACCTGTCTCCTGTTACTGTATTGCAATGTGTATTATTCTTGATTGTAAAAGCAATTAGCCTTCGGGCATGATTTTGCGAATAAAGTTTCTTTACAAATAGAAATGCATACACATACACACTAAGAATACGGACGGGCCCAGATATTGCGGGTAAGCCTGGTGCCTGTTGCAGTTCACATTCGTTTATATTTGAATTTCGTCTGCAAGCCAGTTCTGTTATCATGAATTATTGTATAATAATCGTATTTATCACAAAATCCATGCACAACACACAGTCGGGTAAGTCTGGTAGCTGTTGCAATTTATTTTCGGTTTACGTTTGAATTTTGCCTGCAAACAAGATCTGTTATGAAAGAACATCGTATTATATATTGGTGCGGGTTACACTACGACCCCAAAATGCTGCTATTATCTGATAATAACTTTGTACCATATTTATCACAAAATTCATGAAAACAAAGAAATCGGGTACGTCTGGTAGCTGTTGCTTATGTTTGAATTTCGTCTGCAAACTTAGCAAACCAAATCTTATCATCATCAAATCAACATTTTGATTAGTTGGTGAGAACAGTGGCTTATATTACAATCCCCAAATCCTAGGTATATACTAAGTATTTATCACAAAATCTATGCACAGCACACAATCAAGTAAGTCTGGTAGCTGTTGCAATTCGTATTCCAGTTATGTTTTAAGTTTGTCTGCAAACCAGATCTGGAGTCCTTTTAAGTGCGTAGGGAGGTACAAATGTAGTCCCATGGCCTTTTGGTTGCGGCAGTGTTAATCCGCGGTGTCTAGGTCACGGTATTGGAAAGCGCAGGCCATCCATCTAGTTCTACAGTCTGGGGGGCGAGCAGGAAAATTGGCCAGGTAGGTTAAGTAAATAATCATGTCCATAAAAATGGAGTTATGCTAAGTGTACAGGGCCCGGTTCTGTGGAACCAAATTTCCAGGGAGCAAAGACAGCTCTCAAGCTTTCAAAAACTCTCTGTACATGTGAGTGGGACTTGAGTGACAAATGTTTTATGATTGTAATGTATGTTCAGTTGTAACTGTAATGTATATTCTTATTGTGTTTTTCCATGTATATTGTGTATTTTATCCCAGAGATATCTGAAAATCAGGTCAAAAGACCTGAGCGCATACTACTCTGGTAAAATAAAATAAATGAAATGAAGAAGTGTACACAGAGTTAAAGCGTCTCGGTCAGAGTTAAAGCATCTTAGGGACTACGTCCCTCACCTACTCTTCTGTCCACCAGCAAGAGTCACGGCATACCGGACCAGTCCACAATACTGTGGACTTTATGTAGGTTGAGTTAATAATCATGTCCATGAAACTAGAGTTATGTTTTCGGTTTGGCTGTGGTGTGGGTCTGTATGTATGTCAACAGCATATATAACTGTAGAAGTTGTGAATGGATCTTACTGATATTTGGTAGGTGTGTAGCGGTTGTCAAAACGAAGGTCAAGTTTGAAAATGGTTCACCTCGCATTTTCCAACGGTACTGTAGCTCTTTGCACATTTGTTGATTTTATGCGAAATGGCGCGCACGCGTGCACACACACACACACATACACACACTCACAAAGACACATAGTATCATAAAAAGACACTATCTGTATTATTATTTTGGTTTATTCTACGTTTGACATTCATCTTTGTTTAATCTAATGAACCTTACATGCGGCACTGTAATATAAGTCATTGTCTCGTGTACCTTGCTCAATTTAAAAAGAATGGCTACTTTTGGAGGGGACCTTCTTCAGTATGCTTTTTCTCATCACAAGTTTTAGACTGTGCATTTGTCTCACTTGTAGATTTAGTTTTCTTTGCATGCCACTCTAAATGTTTAGACAGGGTATATTTTTGCAAAGCTGAGTAGTCACAAAGATGGCACTTGTAGGGCCTTTCTCCTGTATGGGTTTTCATATGTCGCCCTAAGTGGCACTGGACAGATGTTCTGAATCCACACTCCCCACACATGTAGGGTTTCTCTCCTGTGTGAGTCCTAGCGTGTATGGCTAAGGAAGACTCGTATGCAGTCCTGAACCCACACTCCCCACAACTGTAGGGTTTTTCTCTTGTATGCTTTTTCATGTGTACGGACAGGGATGTTCTTACTGCTGTCCTGTACCCACATTCCCCACACATGTAGGGTTTTTCACCAGTGTGTTTTGATAGATGTATGTCCAAATTGTTTTTTGTTGCTGCAGAATAGTCACACTGGTCACACTTGTAGGGTTTTTCTCCTGTATGGGTTTTCATGTGTTGGGATAAGTGAGACTTTTGCACTGTTCTGTATCCACACTCCCCACACATGTAGGGTTTCTGATCAGTGTGCTTTGCTAAATGGTGTAGGTCCAAACTGTGTTTATCTGCTGCAGAATAGTCACACTGGTTACACTTGTAGGGCCTTTCTCCAGTGTGAGTTCTCATATGTCGAGATAAGGCAGCCTGTCGAGCTGTCCTGAACCCACAGGTACCACACTCGTAAGGTTTCTCACCATTGTCACTATGATTGTGTTTTCTATGAACGTCCAGTTGTGTTTTACGTGTCGTTGCATACTCACACTGGTCACATCTGTAGGCTGCGTGTGTTTTAACGTGCTGGAATAGGTCAGGCTCGTAAGCCGTTCTGAATCCACAATGCCCACACATGTAGAGTTGCTCACCCGTATTGTTCATTCCCACCTGTTCTATACAGACTTGTTGATGTAGATGTGGTGAGACTCTCTCCTCAGGCTGGGTACAGTCATCCTCACATGTTCCCTCTGAGGATCTCTCAATCTCACAGTCTGAGGAACAGAAAAATGCTAGATGCTCAATACTAGAAAGGTAACATTTGCATGGCAAATGCATAATGTTTACCTTTGCATATGGTATGTACATTCATATATGGTGACAAGAGTCTAAATCCCTCTTACTACAAAATTGCAACATGATGTAACCCAACACCAGTTACCATGGTGAGAGACAGTCTGGTTGACCAGGTAAGATGTCAGTGTCTGGAACGGAAGAAGAAGATAGAGGAAACTGAGCAAAAACAATATGTTTTCCTTCGGTAAACGTAATAAAGATTTCCTCACTCTGGTTCCAACTGCTGTTTCTCTCTTTTTTAACAGGATGTCCTGTTGGTATAGTTGGTCCATAGTAGTCGAGCATTTCTTGGTCCTGGCTGTATGTTTCCTGGTTCAGCTCATTCTCTCGTTTAACTTCAACCTCTTGGCACCCGGTGTCTTCAGTGTCCTCCTCTTTGATGTGCATTTCCTTTGCCAACTTTGCCATCTCTATTAAAGAAGATGATTGTAAGAAAATATAAATGAGAAAAATCTCAATTAGGGCGGGACAAATTCTCCTGGGCTCAACTCCTCCGTGGCGCTAATTTAGATCTAAAGTTAGGCGGACGAACCGAAGGGCTCTTGGCTGCCGAAGGAAAATGGCTACGGCCCGATACACCCAGGGTACCCTAGCCGCGGCGACTGTTGCAGGGTTTCTCTTGCTTGCAGTCTTTTACATTGTTAGGGCTAATGTAAAAGACTGCAAGCAAGAGAAGCCCTGCAACAGTCGCCGCGGCTAAGGGTAACCATGACACTGCCCCCCTCCCCATTTAAATACCGACCCCACGCGCACTTCTAAATTCTAATTTACCGCCGAAAAAGCACAAAACAGGAAGCGTAAAGACAAACAAAGGTCTTACCTGTAGTTTTGTGGTGGATAGCGCTCTCTACCACCTCTAAATATCCGTATAAACGGCGTCAATTCTTCGAAAAACGAGTAATGTTTTGGTCAGCAAACCGACCGGTCAAAGGTGAGAGGTCATAAACCTGATACATGCTTTACAATAGGTCAAACCACAGATGTCCGCTTAACGCCTTAGTTCTCTTTTGAGCCTCACAATGATTATACCGCTCTATAGTGGGACACCACGACTTCCTCCAGTTGAGATAGCTTTTCTATGATGAACTTTATTGCACAAGAGTTCTACAAGGTACAAAATATGACATGTATAGCTGTAAAACAGCAAACATACTGTATTAGATTACTAGTACTGTGTATTACAAACTGGAGTAAGATGGCGAAGTCCACTGGTGATGCAATACATTCCATCATAGCTGACCACCAATCAGTTTTCTTTATGTGAAAACAAATGCTGGTATTGACCACATTGCTCATTCAATATTGACATAGATAAAGCGTTAGTGATATTTATAAGTTACTTGCAGTGTCAAATATACAGTATATGTGCACATGTATACATGTATGCAAAGAATCCATAATTTGGACCAATGATGGCTACTTCGTCAGCAAATTTCACAGTTACTGGCACTCATGACCCTATGGCAGCATCACCTGTAAAACAAAACAAAAAGGTATTACTTTTATACTTGTTCAGAATTAAAATGTTTCTTTTATTTATATCAATATCTAGTATCACCACCATAGATTCTAGAACCAGTATGTAATGTGCTTTTCGTGAAAATCTAATGTCAATATTAGACCATTGATTATGACTTGTGTTGCGTCACATAGCATGTATAAATATTAGCATTCTAGGGATGATACCTTTAACTCTTGTCCAGTAGGTTTTGGTTCGTGGTTGCGTCTCCGTCGTTTTCTGCAATAGGGGATACAGCAGGCTCCAAACAGTAACAACACACCAGCCAAACCGCTGACTATTACGACAAGTCTCTCTTTGATCGTCAATAGTTCAGGTCCTGAGTTTTGAACAAAGAAAAGAGTTCAAGGTCTAACTTTTTAAGCGTAAACTGTGCCAATGGTTCTGTGACAAAAGACAAAAAACTTCGGACAACAAAGAAGAAATCTAGCACTTGGATTCCTATTATTATTCTTCCCTTTCGTCTTTTGCGGTCATAACAGAGAAACATAAAGTCAGAAGGCACAGAAATAAAGAAAAACATTACCTGCATCGTATACGTATGTCGTGTTAGTCTGCATCATCTGAGTGGATGTTACAATACTGGTTGTGGTTGGGGGAGGAGTCACTGCAAACCAAAAAAGAAAGTTGAAAAATTCAGCATTACATTTACTCCAACATTATAAGAACAGAAATACAAGATATAACAAGTAAAAGCACCCTACCTTCGACAGAGTCACCCCAGAACACCGCCACATTGTCCGGTCTACAGTCACTGTTGCCGGCGCAACCTCCCTGCTCCCCAAAGGCCGTTCCTTCAAAGACGTCCACGAAATTTTGCTGTACGGATCTCGTGGCGTTCTGCTCTTCTGTTAGGACGTCGTCAGCAAAGTATTGTTGTTCTATTCCTCTGTGTTGCATTTTGTAACTCCGCAATTCTAAGAAGATAAACATTAAAAGTAAAACAAATTGACGGGTAGAATTTTATTACATTACATTGCATTAGCATACCTGTCCTTGGTGCTGAACGCCATCCACACACATACATTAGCATACCTGTCCTTGGTGCTGAATGCCATCATCCACATACATACGTTGCATACCTGTCCTTGGTGCTGAACGCCATCCACACACACACACACACACACACACGTTTGCATACCTGTCCTTGGTGCTGAACGCCATTCACACACACATACATACATTAGCATAACTTTCCTTGGTGCTGAACGCCATCCACACACACACACACACATATATATATACATTAGCATGCCTGTCCTTGGTGCTGAACGCCATCCACACACACATACATACATTAGCATACCTGTCCTTGGTGCTGAACGCCATCCACACACACACACACACACACTTTAGCATACCTGTCCTTGGTGCTGAACGCCATCCACACACACATACATACATTAGCATAACTTTCCTTGGTGCTGAACGCCATCCACACACACACACACACACATATATACATTAGCATGTCTGTCCTTGGTGCTGAACGCCATCCACACACACATACATACATTAGCATAACTTTCCTTGGTGCTGAACGCCATCCACACACACACACACACACACACACACACACACACACACACACACATATATATATATACATTAGCATGCCTGTCCTTGGTGCTGAACGCCATCCACACACATACATTAGCATGCATATTCCTACCATTGGTGCTGAACGCCATCCACACACATACAAACACACTGATAAACCATGCAAAACAATACTTCTGTAAGTAATTTCATCAGGTTGGTGAATGATTGAGTAGCAAACTTCTTAATTCACAACCACGTGTTTAACAAGAGCCAACATTTTGACGACCGCCTGTCATTTTCATCAAGATAATTATGATGATATAGCAACCAAATTACCCAAACAGTCAGGCCATCTCACTGAAGTTTTAGTAGAAGTCGTTGACCACAAGCCAGAGGCACCGCAGATGTACAGTTGGGCAGGTTGAGAATCGAACTCGAACTCTTCGTAACAGAAAACCATACAGAACTGGCCAAACAGCCACCGGTCACACGCCAGCGCGCCGTTTTTTGGAGGACTCCACATCGGGCATTTAGATGCTGCAGGGATAAAATGAAAAATATAATAAAAATACATATTTCGTGCATAATATGAGTGTCGTTGTCTTAATAAGGATTTACATAAAGCTAACCATCATTGGATGGAGACGGGGGACGACAAACACTTTCTTCAACTGAACTTCAACACTTTGAACCACTGCTATGACTGATATGACAAAAGTAAAGTTGTATAACTGATAAGAACATTTCAAACAAGATAGGCTAAAAAACTGATAAGAACATTTAAAACAAGGTAGGCTAAAAAGTAAATACACGTATACCGATTCTAAAACCTAAGAGATACGTAATATTCCGTAACTTTAAGAATGCAGACCATGGACAATACACTTCCTTTTGGTTAATGTAGCCAAACAAGGTAAGCTAAAAGTAAATACACGTTTTAAAAGCTAATAGTAAGATACGTACGCCTAACAGTGATGGTAAAGTGGCATTCCGCCTCGCTCCCAGTGTGGCCCTCGGTCCAACATCGGACCCACACCGTCCCCCAGAATACAGACTTTAGACAATACGCTTCTTTTTGTTAAATGTAGCCCGTGTTGCTTTCATTTCAAACAAGCTGCTGGGCTGAAAGTAAATGCACAATTTTAAAACCCAATAGATACGTACGCCTGACTGTGACGGTAAAGTGACATTCCGCCTCGCTCCCGGTGTGGCCCTCGACCCAACACCTGACCCAGACTGTCCCCCAGAAGAACCGGCTGCCCGGGTCCCGGTCACACCGGCCAATAACACCTTCTGACGTCACGTTAAACACAGGTAAAGGCCAGCTGACCTCCACACTCTCTCGGCTGGTCTCTACTTGGATATTTGTGCACGGTGTCGTCATGTTTTCCGCAGTGTCGCCCGCAGCTGAAAAATACGTACAGTAAAGTTGTATTCAAGTGTTTATGGTTCAGTCGTTTGTCGTACTTATAAGCTTGCTTGCTTGATCAGACCAAGAATGTCTTTGTCTTTCTGACCTCCACACTCTCTAGGCTAGTCCCTACTTGGATATTTTTGCACGGTTGCGTCATGTTTTCCGCAGTGACGCCCGCTACTGGAAAATACGTACAGTAAAGTTGTACTCAAGTGTTTACTGTTCAGTCGTTTGTCGTTCTTGTCGTTGCTTGTTCTAAAGTAGAAATGTCTTTGTGTGTTTTTCTGACCTCCACACTCTTTAGGCTAGTCTCTACTTGGATATTTGTGCACGGTTGCGTCATGTTTTCAGCAACGACGCCCGCTACTGGAAAATACGTACAGTAAAGGTGTATTCAAGTGGTTACTATTCAGTCGTTTGTCGTACTTATAAGCTTGCTTGCTTGTTCTGACGAAGAATGTCTTTGTGTGTTTCCCTGACCTCGACACTCTCTGCTGGTCTCTATTTGTTTTTTTTTCACGGTGTCGTCATGTTTTCAGCAGCGACGCTCGCTACTGGAAAATACGTACAGTGAAGTTGTACTCTGGTTACTGTTCAGTCGTTTGTCGTACTTTAAAGCTTGCTTGTTCTGACGATTAAGACCTTGCGATTAAGACATTGCGCATTTCTTTGTGTGTCTTTCTGACCTCCACACTCTCTAGGCTAGTCTCTACTTGGATATTTCTGCACAATTGCGTCATGTTTTCGGCATCGACGCCTGCTACTGGAGAATACAAATTGGACTCAAGTGAATACAAGTTGTATTCAAGTTATGACCTAGACCGTACTCAGGGCTAGTACACAAGTTATGATCAGCCCCCAGGTACAGTGGAGGATAATAGCCTGGATGCCAGACCCATAGCACGATAGGCTCAGAGTAGTATTAGCCACTGCGTGAATCAGGGCCTAATTGAGTAAGGCTTTGGTATAATTTCCATTGGGGCAAGTTGGCCCTGAAGCCGGGGAACTGGTTAGTGTCTTCCCTGGAAACAGTCTGGCACCCACGCTAAGATAGACACTAAGAAGCTCTAACTGTCTCAGGAGTGTCTTCTTCGTAAAATTTCCTTGGGGACATGTTGCTGAATTTGCCCTGGAGCCGAGGAGCTAGCCTGTATGTATATTAGCTATTGCATCAGTCTGACACCCAGGGTAGTCAGCCATGGCCTTGTAAGCTGAGAAAGCCAGTCGTCACCGTACACCTTACAAAGCACTATGCATCAGTGGTTCTTTAATTTGTTTACAGTACAATGTATAGTCGTTTTCTAAGCCTGCTTGTTCTGACCAAGGATTTCTTTGTCTCTCTTTCTTCCCCTCACTCTCAGTTCGGTGCTACATTGTAACCAACGAAACACAAATGCATGCAGTCATACATTGATATACGAAACTGTACAAGGAAGTCAATTGAAAGTAAAAGTACAGTAGTCAGTACTAATCAAACAAGTTGTTAGCAATATTCACAAGTGCTTACCTGTTAAGACAACGAACTGGCCAAGAGAAGCACAGAGTATCACGCCGTACATTGTAGTGCTCCGATAAAACGTTTGTATGTTTGTCACCATCTTTTCAAACTGACGTTACAACAACACGATGTTTAATCTCCGCTTGTGAAACCGGAAGTTCCACTTTCTATATGTATACACTTTGAGTCATGGTGATTCCCTGGACTGATCCATTTCTCTGTGGGGGTGTAAAAACTTTGATGTGATGACCACACTCCGAAACTTGGTTGTACGTGTCCTCAAAAGTAAGATGTGATGTAATCATCAAAATATGTTACACTACTGTGTCCTAGGTTTTACTTCCAGTTGAGTAGAATAAAATTGTAAGAAACACACTTTTGCATCATGTGTACATGTATGGCTAGTTTATTCCTGTAATCTCTTATTTCGACAGAAGAAAAAAAAAGAAGCAGTTCTTCACAAAAAAATGCTTTATCTTTCTATATCACTTCACCTCGTTACAGGGGCTAGTCTTTTATATGACACACATCTGCAGAAATGTGAAGCAATCACAAAAGTAAAACCATGTATCTGTATCTGTATAGCTGGTATAACGGCCCTTCAGCGTAACACACCAACTTAAGCATGTTGGATGAAGGTTGGGTATTGTGACGTAAGCATAACTAATGTGGTGGCAACATTGTTATTAAATTGTTCTTGGATAGGAGCACTTTTTATCCACACTTTATGAAAAATGCCATATGAGTACTTTTATGATTTTGCAAACTCATAATTATTACAATAATACCATTACCAAATGTAAAACAAACCAGGAATTGCACATTTTCAAACCATCACCTCAAAAAGCGTATTAAATTTTCCAACAATGAAAATTACGTTGAAAATGAGAAAACTTGTCAGTAAAGAATACGAAATATATTAAGCAACAAGTTAGTATGAATAAAATTTAAATTTACAGTTATTTTGCAAGCGAGTTAGGAGCAACATAAAATTTTCCAGTGAATGTCATAAAAATGGAATACAATTTATTATTATACCAAGTGAACCAAACTACTTTGTCAATAGGCTTTTCAATGCATGATTTGACAAAAAATTGAAATATTTTATTTCTTCAAGTTTGAACTGAATGTTATTGATAACACAAAATTAACAAGTGAATCTAACTAGCTTTTTTAGGCATTAAACCACTTCTGAACTTTGAAACAGTGAATGTGTGTACCGATGGTAGGCTCATCAAACTAATCAAATCATAGGCAGAAACTACATGTAGCTGACAACAATAACAGCCCTGATAAAGACAAACCGTAGAGTGAGACTCTGACAATGTATCTTGTGGCAAAGTAAAAACTGTAGAGTAAGACCTTATAATTATCCTACATAGAATTCATAGAAAGTTCACTATCACAGGCATGTATGCAAAATAACGTTAATAGGGACTATCAAAAACTTTTCTTATCAAAGCACTTAAAAACACCTTACCTACATTTTTATAGAACATTGTCTTGCCTTCCATGTACAATTATCTAAATAATATCTTTCACCCCAGTTTATGAACTTAGGCCACACCAATTTAATTTGTTGGTTCTCGGATTTTTTCAGAAAAAATATGAAGCGACAGGGCGAAAAAAAATAAAAATAAAAACAGGTCTAGGCATCCTATTATAGGCTTAAATGATACAAAATGAGCCATGAAGTCAACACAAAAGGCTGGGTTAAAATTTAAACATTGAATTTTGAACTTTTAATCAAACCACTGCAATGATAGATGGGAAAACTGTAACAACTAGGAAGAAAAGGACTTTCCTCAACTGTTGGGGGCAAAACATGAGCATTTTCAGTTGATTCAGGACCAGAATCAATTTTTTTTTTTTTGCAAATCAGAAAAAAACGAAGAGGCGAATCCGAGAACCAACAAATTAAATTGGTGTGGCCTTATCATTCCCTCTATACTGCAAATCTAAGAACTATTCTGAACTGTTATATAATTAAATTTTTACCTGTGTCGATTGGTTACAATTCTATTACTATGTCAATGTTTGCCTCTGAGTTGAAAATAAGAAGAATATAGTGAGAATACTTCTCCACTTGATTGTTAGGCTTGATTGTTACTGAAACTTCCCAATAGTTGTACATTAAATTCTATTTACATTGTACATGATTGTAGTGGGATACTTTGGCCATGGAAATATTAAATACAAAAACTTCTTTCATCATATAAATCCGTTCAAAAAATTTCTTGATTGTTATCATGTAGTAGTTGTAGATGTTTTTTTATGGGGCACTATGTTGCATGCAACAATATTAAACACTGTTGCTGCAATAAAAAAGAAAAGTAGCAAACAATGTGTGGTTTGCTTTAACTATACATTTTGTGATTGGGCTTAGCCCCATATTGATTAGATTTAAACTAAGGAACTTTACATCTAAATACAGTGTATTAAAAGTAGTGATCAGATCCAATAGTTTGGTGCATATTTTGTCTCCCACTTACATAGCGTGCCCTTCTACAAATATAAACAGTATATGCTTTAAAACAAACTAAACTGTGCCTGCAAGAAAACTTACAAATAGATATGCCTAATCCCAAGTACCTAAGAGAATTCATCTACAATTTTGTATCTAATAATATATCTAGCTAGCTTAGAGGAGCTCGTATACATTTATTAAAGCATTCCTTTGCTATACATTTTGTAAAACTCAATTCAATATTCAAGCTTATCAAAAATGATGTTTCCAATTAGCTAATAGTTTAGAAATCTGAGGCAGACTTTGGTAGAAAAATGATAGCCTCTACCAGGCTTCAGAAGCAACTGGAAAGAGTAGAAATTGGCTAAACAGACAGATAACATTCCAAGGGAGTTGGCAAATTCTCCTTTAGCCTCTACCAGGTTTTATAAGTGGCTGGTCCACTAAATGAGTACAGTTTGCTTCCAACTAGCAAACTGTACTCATTTAGTACACCCACTCCCCTGTCATGTTATCTGTCTGTTTGGCCAATTTCTACTCTTTCTAGCCCCTTCTGAAGCCTGGAAGAGGCTAGAAAAATGAGACTGATGCCATCTCTAGGCTTGACTCTGGTCACTCAGGGGATCAAACATGTCCAGAGAGAACTGACCACTGCTGATGGTCAAGCCGGCCCCAAATCCTTCCTGTAAGTGTAAGAGTGAACAATTCAGTGTTAGCACTGCACAATGTTTGTTTCATACGGAATGGTTCTATACATGTCAAGGTAGAGACTCAAATCTAGTACAATCTGCATCTGTATAGCCGGTATAACCGCCCTTCGGCGTAACACACCTGACCAGCTTCGCAGGCACATGGCGCAGCGGCAGCTGGCTACATCACACCGATCAACTTGTTACACCTAACCCTGTGAACATCTAACTTCAGACTTTAGCTATCCAATGACAATGCCCCTACTGTACTAGGTGGCAGCGAGTTCCACCCTGCGATGCCTAGTTCTAGGAAAGAATGTTGGTAGAATTGGTGAGATCCGAATCAGTTGACAGAAACTCCTGAGTCCTATCGATTGGGATCTCTGCTACCAGAATGGAGTCTCTAGCCTGACATATACTCAATAAAAACTGGCAGTGGCTAATCCCTTTGGCAAGAAATCAAGGAACTAATATAAGAACAGACACGAAGCAAAGAGATTAAAAGATTGTAAAGAAAGGAAAACCAGATGGAACTTAAGTCAAGGAGTTGAACACAGTACACATTTTTCTGATCATACCTTTTGTTCATCACTTTGTTCCTATAAAAGACACACAAAACAGAAGGAAAAGAAAAGAAGACACATATAAAATATAGAAAGGCAGTTACAAATGTACAATCATGTAAATAATGATTGTCAACGGCACCCAACAGTTAGGCATGAAAACATGAATACAGACAAGATCCTCCTGAATTCATAAGAAAAACAGAATTCTAGAAATTTTGGTGCAATAGTGCGAGTCATGCAAGAAAATACAAAATTCAAAACATAGAATATGACAGCAATATAAATGGCAAACATATGGACATTGAATGTAAAAAGCAGATAAGAACAAAGTAGTGAAAACCAGAACATATAGACATGTTATAGACACAAGATTTCAAGTTTTTTAACTAAGGCCACACCAACTTAATTTTATGGATGACATCCGCGCGCGTATTGATTTTCGCCTGTTCTCCAAAAAAAAAAAGAAGAAGAAAACTGAAAAGATCATGTCCTCCAAGGCTCTGGCCTGGCTCTAGGTCTGGGTACTCCATGGTGGTTAGCAACAATACGGAGGTGGTAAGTCTGGACAATGGCACCCAGGCTACAGAAGCTCCACGACTCAAGAACTTAGTAACGTTACATACGTACAGTGCCGTAAACGTTGCTAATAGTATGTACTGCCGCAAATTAACAATACTAGCTATGTATTCCTATGGGGGTGTTTTTCTTTTTATCGCCTGCGGGCACTAGTTTGGGGGTCTTGGGAGAATGTAATCCATAAAATTAAGACGGTGTGGCCTATGGAGAAGAAATGTGTTGTTGTGTAGTACCATATACAAACCTGTAAGTCTGCTAACTGTGAGTCAATTTTCCCCATGGCTTTGTCATAGTCCTGCGACCCTCCAGACGAAATGATGGCATCAAAAGGTTCCTGGCCAAACACGTCTCGACCTGATGAAGTTATCATTAACATCGATGAAATGTACGGCAAAAAACTGTATTTTCCTTGTGTTTTGTATGTATGTATGTATGTATATGATGTACAAAGTACAAAATGCAGCGTTAAGCACCCTTGTGCCACTTGATAGGATTCCTTGTTTGTCCAAACAAGCAAAATATAAAAACATTCAACTGCCAACACCCAGGCCTCGTTTTTTCTTTCTTTTTACAACTGAGTTGACTCAGTTACTCACTATCCAGGTTTTGATTATACTACTACCCTCACAAGGGTAGGTAGCAGTCAGCTAGACTTCACACAGCACCTCCAAGTGGCCTTATTCAGTGGGTTCACACCAGCAAGGCCACATTCTCTGATATCCTCCTTGATACTAGCCTCTGTAGCAGGCTTATAGAACTGGGGGTTTGGTGGTCTTCGGCTGTTTTCTGATTAGCCCAGTCCTAACGGGGGTAATTCAACCAGGCCGGCTATGTTGTCTATATGCAATCAGAAAATAGCACAGAAAAAGCTCCCAAAGACCATGAAGACCCCCGGTTTTTGGCATGCTATGGAGGCTACTTGATAAACTCCAACCAGGATTAGACAATATATATTATATGACACATGGTTTAAACTTACTTGCTGCTGAAGATGCATGTTTTGTAGGTGAGACAAAAGCTGCCCCGTTGACTGTGGTTGGTGACATTGTGGTGCCGTTGCTTGGGGAGAAGGGCTCCATATCGAAGGAGTCGGTCTGCTTAAACTGGAGGGTCTGAGGGGGGTTTTGGGGAGGGGGGAGAGGAACAGGGGTTCTAGATACGGGCTGTGGTGGGGGGAGTTGGACCATATTGTTCTGCTGAGAAAAAACAAACAATTATACTATTTTAATTTATAGTGTTTAATATCAAACAATAAGACATTGTATTACTGTACACTACATTCCTTTTGGCATTTTTGCTGTTTGAATCATTGTTTTTGATTCATGAGAAGCACAAATATACCTGCAGGCCACTTTTCATTGAGGTCATGAGGGAAGAGGTAAGGGTCAGAAAAAATATACAACAGAGATACATTTCACATCTTTTTTAAAACCCTAATAAATCTATTATTCACATATTTTTACACATCCAATCCATGGTACAAAATACATAGTACATAAGAGTGAGTATCTCCATTATACTCATATAAATTCAACTAGTAAACATCTACAATGTACAGTGCAGTCATATACATGCACAATGTTGAAACCATTAAAAAGAGAGAAATGTTGGAGCCATAAAAAAGTCAACAGTTATTAAGACACTCACATGTACAGCAGTTGTAGCAGAAGTAGTCACTGTGGTCTTCCTGAGCTGTGCCTCTAAATGGATTATTCTTTTCCTCAGCTGTTCATTTTCTGCCTCCTTTTCCTTCAACTGAAAGGTAGCGAGCAAGAAACATCATTCAAGATTATCATAATGAAGCAAGATACATGAGGAAATAGGAAGACACTTCAGCCCTGGTCACAACCTGCCGTACATGCTTTTTGTCCGTACGTTTTATGGGAGGCCACGTCTGCTACGTTTTTCTGAAAACGAGCGTTGTACGCTCATAGGCTGTACAGGGCATGCGTGTCGCACGTATGGGTGGTGAATCCGCAGACAGCACGCATGAAAAGTTTTGCATGCACTTAAAGTTCTACGGCGTGTCTGTGTGCTCCCAAATCCGTAGGATTCCGTACGGAGGCGGTACTCACCACGCACGGATGCCCTACGTTTGCCTACGTTTTTGCACGTAGACAGCACGCAGAAGCATGTACGGCGGGTTGTGACCAAGGCTTTAGTCAAGCAGTGGCAAGAACCATCCATACCAGTGATCTACAGTTTATCATGCTGTCAGGGTAGAGACTCTGGTAGAGTCAGTGATTCTACTGATAGAGATCCTGATCGGAATCTTTGTTGACCAAGACTCTTATCAGTATGTGTTAGGGTGGTCACACATTTATAAATCTTTAATTTCAAGTCAATCCATTGATCTAAAGTGACATGAATCAAAGAAATGACATGAAAAGTTCTGTCCTGTGAGCGAATATCTGAAAGATCACGATTGGACTTTCTGTTGACAGAGATGTGGGGAGTATTTGCCTATTCTTCCAGATTGGTGTCTCTACCCTGACATATATATATGTTAACAGATAAAATCCAGTCTAGATGTCGTGTTGCCTGGGGCAAGTTCAAGTTGCTCCCCATCCTAACCTCCAGGAACCTCTCCTTCAGAACCCGCAGCTAGGTGTCCAAAAGAGACATGGATGGAGTGCCTCCGGGGGGATATCAGGGTGTGTGGACTGACCAACACTGACCCTCTGGACAGGGCCGCATGGAGATGTGAAGTGAAGACTAGCTGACTGCTGCCCACCCCTGAGACAGGGAAGCCGGCAGCAGAATAATCAAAGCCCGGATATGTATGTATGTATGTAGTCACCTTTTTCTGCAATGCGAGGAACTGTTTCCTGAGTTCCAGGTCCTTCCCGCTGGTCTCCACAAACCTCTTGTAGGCCAGGTCAAACGACTGCCCGATGGTCAGGGTGATCTCTTCAGCCTGAGAAATAAAACAAAGGCCATCCAGTCAAAGCCATGATAATCAAAAGCAAGCCTGATCCCAAAGTCCCCAGATGGTACATGTACATGTATGACATAAATCAAGTGGTTTCTTCTTCTTTGGTCATCCTCGTCATGAGGTGCAGCATTTAGTCTGGTGGCAGAGACCGATAAGCGTGCAATGCGGTCCATACAAAGTTTTTTTGTTGTTTCTATATCTCTGAGGTGTGCTCTTTCAGAATCTGAATGATGCCACTCTGTCATCCTTGGGCAATTCGCACAATATGCAAATTAAGGTGGCCATTACTGAAAATCCAGTTTTCGTCAAAATCTCAGTAACTACTCATGGTATCAGAATAATTTTGGTGTCTATCCCCATCTTTTGAGGGATAACGAATTAAATCAAGCCATTTCAGTAAAGTTAGAACCACTATTTTTTGCTAAATATGCAAATTTGGGCCGCGCAATATGCAAATTAGGGCGGCTATTACTGAAAATCTGTTTTTCGTCAATATCTCAGTAACTACTCATGGTATCAGAATAATTATGGTGTCTATCCCCATGTTTTGAGGGATAACAAATGGAATTTCAGTAAAGATCAAACCAGTTTTTGTGCTGAAATATGCAAATTAAAGCCGCACAATAGGCAAATCAAGGTGGCCATTACTGAAAATCTGTTTTCCGTCAATAGCTCAGTAACTACATATGGTATTATAATATCTTTGGTGTCTTTCCCCATGTTTTTTTGGAATAACTATTGAGCATAAGGCCATTTCAGTGGAGATCAAATGGATATTTTTGTGCTTAATTTTCAAATTTAGGCCGCCATTACTGAAAATCTGTTTTTCGTCAATATCTCAATAAATCTCATGGTATGAACAATAATTTTGATACAATACACATACATTTGTACTATACACATGTTTTGAAGGCTAGATAATCAGAATAAACCATCCCAGTATTAATCACACCAACATTTAATGCAAATTATGCAAAAACTAACCAGTATATAGCATGGGCGCCTGTACCTCTGAACACTGATAGGAATGTTAATAAATGATACAATCTGTTAAAAAAATATTAGACCCTTCATAAGCCCACACCTGTGCCTTACCAGCGTCTGTGTACAGGCAGAATAAAGCGCTAACTTGACGTCCTGAATTTTATGTCAGCGTGGCCCGTGTAGAATTTAAAGAGTTGAATTCTTCTTGATTCCCGGACAGGCCAAAAAAATAGCCCGGTAGCCGCGGGGTGTCCCACGCCTGGAAGTGTCACAAAACAGCCCGGGAACTACACGCCAGGGACTATTTTTTACAATTGGGACCAAAGCTTAACAGATCTCCAAAAAGATGACCGGCGGCCGCTCAAAAGTGCACAGTCCTAATTAAGGCGAAGGATGGGACCCTAGCTACCACTGTCTTAGGGGAGGACAAGCTTGCCAGGTGGGCAGAATACTTTTCAAAAAGTCTTAAACCGCTCAAGCCATACCTCAGTAGCATTAGTCTTTGATGAACACCTACACCCATTACCTGTTGAGATCGAGGACATCTCCGAAGCTGAAGTCAGTCACCAGGCATGAATGGCATCACTTCAGAGATGCTTAAAGCCGAGGGTGACTGTGTTGTGAGATGGACGCTTTTCTGATCGCCTTTTCTGATCGCAAACGCTTTAATAGAACCATAACCATCTTCCCTAGTACGCCTTCCCTGGAATAAAGCTGGCATTCAACGGCGATCACAGGGAAGTGCTGGAGGACTGGAAGAACGGATCAGTAGTTAAGCTGGAGTCACATTTGAAACAGGACCTGCTCGGCATGTTCTCGGTGTAGACGCCGGCCGGCGTCATGAAGCCGAGCGTACGCCGGCTGTCAGGGTCACAATTGAATTTTCCTTTACGGCTCCCTGTCGGGGCGCTGAGGCGGCTTCTATGTAAAATCCACAAAATTTTGGTCCCCTTGACGACGGGTTTCTGTTAGGGACCCGTCCGGTGCCCAGTCAGTCTTCTGTCAGACCTGTGCGTGATGCGATAGGGTGCCGACTAGCTCTTGCATTCCGGCCGGGCAGCTACAGGGTCCCTGGCGGGGTCAAGGGGCGATCCTGGCAGGTCCCAGGCTGGTACGCCTGTGGCTGGTATGGTGGGTTCGGCCCTGCTGGTTGATGCGCAGATCCGTGTATGGTCACTATGACTGACTGATGATGTAGCTATGTCGAGAACAGCACAGTACCCTCTATATTGTCTATAACTACCTTCTTCTGAACAATTCTAGCACAGAACAACACACGTGACTTCATAATCTTGGACAGGTGTCTGTGCGTGACCCGGCGGCTAGGTTACGGTTTGGTCCGGTGAGGTTACGGGGTCGCTTCGGCGTACCTTGCCCACCGGGGCCTGAAGTGATTTTAAGTTTGAGTCAAATCAATTTGGCGACGTCGCGGGGCCAAAAAATAGGCCGGCAGCCGTCGGGAACCCCGCCTATTGCCTTCCAGGTCCCGTTCCGAATTCGGTAGTGCCAAAACACAGGCCAAAAACGCGCCGAGCGGGCCCCTTTCTTGAATTGTGACATAGGCTTAAAGTGTGCATTCCAAAGAAGGGAAACCTGAATGAATGTGATAACTTAAGGGGAGTGACAATTCTTTTTTATACCAGTGAAGGTGTATGCCAAATGCCTCCTGAACCGCATGAGAGATGCAGTAGGCAAGGTCCTCTGGGAGCTGCGAGCAACAAGCTAGCTTTCGCTCAAAGAGATCCTGTGCTGAGCAGATCTTCACCCTGCGGTGGAGGAAATGTGCTGAACTGCAAACCCCTTTAGCTCAGATTCATTGATTTCTGCAAGGCGTTTGATAGCATCTAAAGTCCCTCTTTATCATGTAAAGTTATGGACTGCCAAGTAAACTTATGTATACAGTTAAACAGATATACTGAAACTCGAAGTGCTGTGTACGGACGGTTGAAGGAATCTAGATACAGCGGGTGGTTTGAAGACGGATCCTCCAAGGTTGTGTCCTGTCACAGATCCTCTTTCCCGTGGCTATCGACTGGGTACTTGGGAAGCAACAGGAGAAAAGGGGGGTAAAGTGGGTTCCAGAGACAAAGTTTGCCGACCTTGACTTTGCAGACGACATTGCGACATAGCGGAAAACACCAGAGATCTCCAACCCCTAGTGACCAACATAGTCCGTCTGCAGACAGCATTGGGCTCAGCATCAGGGCCAAAAGCAATTAACATGCTGATAGGGACACACGCTCCTCTTAGAAGTGTGACCATTGACGAGAACAAATTGAAAGTGGCGGAGAACTTCTCACCTACCTTGGGAGCTCCATCAACAACAAAGGACAGATGGACAATGAGCTAGACTGTAGACTTGGAAAGGCCTCAGCAGCCTTCAACCAGCTTGGCTTTGAAACCTACTATGTGGAAATCAGCCAAGAAAAGAGACTGGAATCACTGGATGCTTCTGATAGTGAATGCGTGAGGAAGATCTTAAGCATCAGACGACAGGACTTCATACCCAACACAGATATATGAGCCAGAGCTAACCAATAGCCAGTGTCTACAATCATACGCAAGCGGCGTTTCATGCAAGAAGACGTATGCCATCTAGACTTAAGTAAACTTAGAATTGTCTTTCAATATTGAACAGGTTTTGGGTCAGATAAACTATACCAAGGCATGTGCGTTTGCATGGAACATGGGTCGGAATTAGGACCCCTCCTTGCTAGCAGCCAGGTGCGTCAATAACAGACAAGGCCCAAATTTGCATATGTAGCAAAAAATAATGGTTCTATCTTTACTGAAATGGCTTAATTTAATTCGTTATCCCTCAAAACATGGGGATAGACACCAACATTATTCTGATACCATGAGTAGTTACTGAGATATTGACGAAAAACAGATTTTCAGTAATGGCCGCCCTAATTTGCATATTGCGCGGCCCAAATTTGCATATTTAGCAAAAAGTAGTGGTTCTATCTTTACTGAAATGGCTTGATTTAATTCGTTATCCCTCAAAAGATGGGGATAGACACCAAAATTATTCTGATACCATGAGTAGTTACTGAGATTTTGACGAAAAACTGGATTTTCAGTAATGGCCACCTTAATTTGCATATTGTGCGAATTGCCCAAGGATGACAGAGTGGCATCATTCAGATTCTGAAAGAGCACACCTCAGAGATATAGAAACAACAAAAAAACTTTGTATGGACCGCATTGCAAGGTTCTCCAAAAATCGGGGGTTTGGCAACCGGACTAATTGGAGAAGTTCTTTCGGTTTCCAGTACTGTTTGTCAGACATTGCAGACAGAAGTTCAGGTCCTTGTAAACCAGTTTCAGATTCAATGACTTTCTTGAGAGTTAGGGTTAATGACCCCAAGGGGTATCTTAAAGTTAAAAACCATGACCCTAGCATGACCAGAACACGAGATGTTAAAACTGTTCCAAGGCAGTACTAAGGAAAACAGCTAAGATCTACCCACCTACAAAATTTTCTGATAATATACATCCATAGCTTTTAGAATTATTGTGCTAAACCACAATTCAAACATCTAAACTTACATAATAGTTTATTATCATTACATACATGCATACAAATGCTACCAGAGACATAACCTTCTAGATGAAGGTAAAAAAAAAGAAGTATACTTGGTATCTTACACATTTGTCGCTGTCGAACACAAAACAGAGGTGGACATTCCTTTCCGTGTCTTTGGCGATGAAGGCAAAAATTCTCTTGTCTGTTTTGTCGTCTGCACAGAAGGAGATCCGGTGTAGAGGGAAGTTGTGCATAAGAACCTGAAACATCAGAAATTTCATTGATAAGTTAACATAAGAAAATGTTGAGCTACTTTTCATAAGTATATTGTATACTAGTATCAGATTCTGTATCTGTATCTGTACCCTTCAGCGTAACACACCAGCTTTGCTATCATATGATATTATCTTTTTTACAGAATGACCTGTTACATCCAACTTTGGCACACGTAACTTCAGGCATTGTTCAAAGTTATCTAGTGATGTTGCCCCTACTGTACTTGGTGGCAGCGAGTTGCAAGTATTTGGCAGGGAGTTCCATTTTGTATGGTACAGTATGTGGATATCTTTGTTTGTTTGTTTGTTTGTTTCGCATAACTGGTAAACCGCCTTTAGGCGTAACACACCAGTTTTGTACATGTATGACTTGTACATGTACAAGCTGCGTAAGATCGGCCTGTAAGGTTTGAACCACTTGCACCAGGAAGGTCCCCTACTCTTTTCGATATTCTTACATATTTCAATATCATGACTGCAAAAAACTTACCCTGCTTTCATCATAAGGAAAACCTTTGAAGTCTACAGTTGTAGGTCTTTCAGACATAAATCAGATTACATAACCTTTTCACTCTTGCTTGCCCATGAATAAACTTGTAGTTAGTGCTGTGTAACAGTACCTTGTTTTTGATGTCTGAAATCCCCAGTCCATCAGCTGAGATACTGAGCTCAACTTTAATGGGCTTGGCCCCTTCTGCTCTCTTCACATGGGTTGAGAACTGGGAGGGTTGGAAGTTAACAGAACATTATTTAGAAGATACATTGGTGAAGGTTACTCATCTAGGGTAGTAGTAATAATAAAATTTCAAAGTCGTTTAGTCTTCTCAAACTGGATGGATTTTTAATCTAATCAGTAGACGTTTCAGGTGTACATTCGACACCCTTCATCAGTACAAATGAGTGTTTACAGAGGAATTTACGGAGCTCATTTGTACTGATGAAAGGTGTACGATTGATGTACACCTGAAACCTCTACTGATTAAAAATCCATCCAGTTTGAGAAGACTAAACTACTTTCTTATTATTACATTCTTATCAGTAGTTTCATAACTACCATTACTGCATGTATTAGATTAACACTGAAATGTAGACATGTGTAAGGAACACAAGATGTAAGCGCACGTTGAAAGTGAGGATCAAAATTAAAACTGTGAGAGACAATCTCATGCACTTCACAACAATCCTTCACAATTGTAATTGAAATGTAAAGTATGACTTCAACTAGAAATGTAACATTTGCAAAGCAAATGCATAATGTTTACCTTCGCACATGATCTGCTCTGTTAATTCTTACTCAAACACATTCATATATACAGACTGTATGGTCAGACAGGAGTCTAAATCCCTCCTACTACATGTATAAGATTGCTACATTATGTAACCCAACACCAGTTACCATGGTGACAGACGTCAACAAATCAAGTCATTGGTCAGGTCAGAGGTTAGTGTTTGGAGAAGAAGAAGAGGAAACTGAGCAAAAACAATATGTTTTCCTTCGGTAAACATAATTAAGTAAAAGCTTTGCATACTTTTTGTTTCCTGATGGCTTCCTTCACCACCTCTGTTCCTTTGGCCTGCTGTACCTCTGTACATCCCAGCAACTAAAAAATTGGAAAGTTAACTGTGAGTTACATGTTATTGTATGACTATTTACAACATCAGGCTACTATCACAATATGATGTGCAAAGTTGCTGCAAGATGTTGCAATGTGCTATAATTTATAATGCTTGGTGTATTGACGTTGTGTGATAAGTTTTTGACTTTATGTGCTCAATTTATGAAAAAAAAACCTGCCATAAAAGCTACTGAACATTGTTCTATGCTACGCCTTGTGAATTTGCCATTCTAAATTTTTTTTCTGACTTGTATACATGAAAGAAAAAAGGTTAAGAGACAGCAGGACCCTATAGGCACATTTATCACCTCATTCTGATACTTGTTGATTCCAAGCAGCTGTAGATAGAAATATAATGATATTTCAAAATCCTTGATTATCTTTATATCATATACGCCAAAAAGCAGTTACTCAAGTAACTGGATATGATTTTGAAAAGTCTAAAATCATATCCAGTCGCTTGAGTAACTGCTTTTTGGCGTATCGTATTACCTGGATGTCAAACCTTCATCGACGTTTATATCATATACAAATTGTATCTTTGTATCTTGTGTGACCTTACTTGAGGCTGTAAAATCTAGTTCTAATGTTCAGATACTGAAAACCATATTTTGTAGTTGAATCTAGTTTGTCAGTATGTCTTATTATGATTTTCTATATTATAAGAAACTTCTTTGACTGTCAAAGAAGTCTCTTATAATAGAAATGACTGCTTGCAAGTTCTTGATTCTACACGTATTTACGTATAGATGTACAAAGGTATTCCTAAAAACCTTGACTCTTTGTCTAGTAGACTAGTAGTAGTACAAACATGTATATATCTACATATCTACAGACAGACCCTTTACTATTTCTTGACTCTATAAGATAAAGGCAGTAGTCCTTGAGCCTTTTGTCTTGTGTTATTGATTCTACTCCATATCTCCATATCTAAAGAGGCAGTAATTCTCTAACCCTCTGCCAGTTCTTGGTGCTATCTCCATATCTTAGGCAGTAGTCCTTGACCCTTCATTTTGGCTCTATCTCCATATCTACAAGAGGCAGTTCTTGGCTCTATACTCTAAGCCTATCTAAATATCTACAGAGGCAGTAGCCCTTGACCCTGTTTGTAAGTTCTTGGCTCTATCTACATATCTACAGAGGCAGTAATCTGTTGACCCTTTGCCAGATCTTTGCCAGTCTGTACATTTGTATCAACCTTTATGTTCTTGGCTCTAGACCAGCGCAAAATACCCGGGCAAGCAAATTTTACTTGGGGCAACTTAGGTAGCCCAGTGTGCTACCTGAATTTTAAGAATGCCTCCTCCCCCCACCCCAAAAAAAAAAATCATGCCCACTTGGCCTGCACCACTGTATCCGGCAGATGCTTTTTAATTCTATAGTATACTAGTATCAGTTAACTTAAGGCTGTTAGAAATATTGTCAAAGGCTTAATGTATGTAACATAACTTAATTTGAGGAAAGTAGTAACTTATAGGTGGGGCACTACCTAAAATTCTGATGGGCAACCTAATGTTTGCCGTAGATTGCCCACTGGGCAACCTGGTTCAAAAAAGTATTTTGTACACTGCTCTAGACTTGCCCTGCAGCACAGCTGATCTAAATTCACGCCTGTACTTCTGACTCTCTGCCAGGCAGCTGTTGAATTTCTCTGCAAACTGGCCGACTTTCAAAATCAACAGTCATCGACCTCACATTTCCTGTGTCTGTGGAACAGATATTCTCCTAGGATGTCTGATTCTAAATGCTATAAAAACAAAACTACACTTTGTGTGTGACTTATGTTTCTCAGCATTTAGGACAATTAGTATAAATTATATCATTTATGGTCCTTGAATTTTTCTGCATCGAAAACATGTGGGCTTGACAATTTGTCAATGAAGCAGTCAACAAGTAATCTCCAAGAAGATCATACAGGGGCAAGGCAGTATCCATTGGCCAGAGGAGTGTCCATTGTGGCTAATGGACTCTCCGCCCTGGCCAATGGATACTGCCTTGCCACCGTAGGATCTGCTTGGAGATTAGTCAAGAATACGCAATTGCAAAACAGTAACTGTACAGATACAATTTTTTTCTGCTGTACCACACAAGAAGCCTAAATGGAAGCTTGGAAATGTCATCATAACACTTCCACTGTGTATTACTGTGTTCCAAGTGTTCCAGATGTTTTTCTGTGTGCCGATAGTGTTGAGTTATTAGTAACATATAATCTTACAATACACAAACCATCTGACTTCACTTGACAGCTTAACAACTACTGTAAGTTACAGCTCTAAGCTTACAGTTACAAAGAACAGCAACACTGTGCCAGGTATAGTGTTGTTTATATTCAGACTAGTGATGCATACCGGTTCACTGGACTTGGATCCGGACTTGTAAGAATGTTTAGGTTCAAGTCCAAAAACACCTAAAGTCAAGAACCGAGTCCGGACTTATTACCATAAAAGACCATTTCACATACCCGTTTTCTTTCCAAACCACCTATAACCTTCTGTAGATTGTAAAATCTTGCTGCAAAATGAAGAAAACATTGCCATCGGGCATCGTCAAGTACCGGCCTCCATGTTATGTGGCCAAATTTTCACCCAGACAACATTGCAAAATTGCAAACATGCAATTTTGTATATGCCATGGGTTTAGGTCCGGACTTACAAGTCCGGAACTGAACCTAAACCTCTGGACTTGAATCCGGACCTGAACCTAAAATTGGGTTTAGGTATGCATCACTAATTCAGACTTTCAGTTATTGCAACTTTTTTGTGAATTCCTACCTTGGTTTGGTACGTGACATGCCCTTTGAGAAGTACATCTGGGGGATGAACCCAGTTTCCTGAAGCAAAAAGCAGTTGAACAAACTTGTCAGTGCAGAAAACAGGGCTATACTAGTACATGTTCTCATTTCTGGCATAGAGAGTGTTTAAAGAGATAATAAACTGTATGCCAGAAATGAGGAGAACATGTTGGAAAATGAGTCTACAATGTTTTCGTCATTCAGACGTCAGATAAAAATTTCAGGTCCCTTCCACATTCTAGCAGTTAATAGGGTTAGGTTTTTGCTTCGTAAAATGTTGAACTTTATTCCAACACAACAAGTACAGAGAGATAAAATTTTTTAACAACCACTGTTGCCTTCATCAGGATAATTAATGACCAATCACTTCAGAATGTAAATTCGTGACAGTTAACGTTACAGACTTATTCACACAAGACTTTATATGGTTACGTGTTGTCAGCAATTGATCAAATTTCTTGGTTTTTCCTTGCTACAGTAGGCTTTCCAGGTTAGGTAACAAGAAGCACAACAGGCCTATAGCACACATGTTGTAAGAAATGATTGTATTTTACTTACTGGTACTTGATGAAGAGTTTCCTGGCTCCTGGGACTTCTGGCCATGAAGCCACTTCATAAAACTGGTGGATCGATTCATTCCTGCTTCTCACACTCCCATAGGTCTGCTACTGTCTGGAAAAGGAAGGATTATAATAACACTCAGACTTCAAGCTACTGTTCAACTAGGGAAAGAAGCAGCTCTGTTGTACTTACTGGTGCAAAGTCCCTGTAAAAAGTTATTCTTCAAGCAGAGGTTATTGGGGAAATTGTGACCTTTTTACTAGTAATCACCATAGTCTCTCAGACATGAGGATGGGACTAGGTAAAGCGTAATCTTATCATATATATGCACTGTTTTTTTTGTCTACCCTCTCCAAAGTTGTTTGGAGGGCAGACAGAAAACTGGGCATATGAAAAGATAGAGATCACAATGTTCCACAACAACCTATACTTGAAGAGTAGTAAAAAAAGTCACACACGTATCAAGAAGCAGCAGTTACAATAGACTACAGAAATTCTGTCTCAAAATGTGGATATGACTCCCAACAAAGATATGCATTTGGCAAGAAACATGTACATACAGATATGACCTGACTTCCTCTCTGCATTATGCTGATAACATGTTCATGTGATTTAGCACATATGATGTATGTGTTGAATCTATTGTACTAAGTACTGTACTAATATAGAACACAGTGATTTACTGAAAATCATGAAAGTTTCACAGCAGTTTAATTATTGCAGATTTTGCTGTGAACTCTTTCCTAAGAATTAATGACATCGCGAACAGTCTTCCTCATGTGACTACTGTACTACAGAATTGTTTTTAAAAATTTTAAACACTGTGAAAACCTCTCCTTCCCTCTTACTGCAAAGTAAAACTACTGCGAAAGTTTCACAATTTACAGTTTATCACATGACTATGACTTAATGTGTTCGTGAGACATCAAATTACCTAGCTACGGCTGCTGATTGAGTTACCATGTAACAAATGGCATCATAAAAAATTGGACAGGTTCCAGAATAGTCTTCAGTAAATATTCTTGGACTTTGTAATATTTTTCTTCTCACAAAATAGCATCAAGAAATTAAATAGGTGTTTTGAACTTAATTCTAGGATTAAAATGTAGCTTGAAATTAAAGCTGTTAATCCTAAATGGAGCATATAATTAAGGACTTAATACAATTAATTATCTTATCAAATAGCATGACCAGACCTGGTGTTACATGGTTACAGTGAGATAAAGAGATAAACCATTGGTCCCACTTGCTAACAACATGTCAACAGTCTGTTTAAACAGTTACTAAACACACATGCTTGTCACTTCAGCCGACATACATCACTGCATAACACAACACACTCATGCTAAAGTGCTGGTAACAGGTTAAGAGGATCACAGAAATGTGGAGCAAACGAAAGACTAAATTATGAAATAAAGACTAAGCTTTAACTTCCAACACTTAAATTACAGAGCTGTAATCTAAGTGTTGGTAGTTAAAGCTTAGTCTTTATTTCATAATGATTTGTACCAACACAGATGAACTTTCATGCTAAGCTAAGTCAATGACTAAATTGACAATTACTAAAGGAAATACATGCAACGGCACATGCACATGTTTTTGCATAGGCATTCACAATTAAACCCCTATATATATACATATATAGCTACTAGCCCTAGATACAAATGTACATTTTGCATGACTGATTACTGGTAGTGGTAGACACAAAATCAATACTATTTTTGGCACTTGGTACATGTATATGCTTACTTAACCAAAAGATCAATGACATAAAATCTATAGTCCAATTTTGCTTACGTCCTAATCATTGATTAAAACTATATCACACGCATTATGACTAGTAAATAGCATTTGGTCAAAGGTATAAGTAAATTGTTCTACCTGTGCAGAATTATTTAGCCTGGGACACTTTTGGAAATTTTTTTTTGAAAAAAATTTAAAAAGCGCATACTTCAAATTTTTTAGTTAGATTGAGAATTTATGGTACTTCAGGGCCCACATTATATTACTCACTGTAATACATGATTTTTAAAAGTAAAAAAGTGCATATTTATTTCAAGACTTTATGGTACTTGGGCCATATTACTGCAATACATGAAGAGAAATTTATTTCATTTTCAGAACAGTCTAACTGATCATAGTTAGCATGAAAGTTCATCTGAGTTGATAAATTACATATGAAAATTAAACTGTTCTCCAACAATCTGGGTCAGATAGCTGAGGAAGACTGAGTGATTCAGTCAAAAATTCTGAGATTCAAGATTCAAGATATCTTTATTGAGCTATCGCAGTAAAAATATCACTGAATTGCAGTCAATTTACAGACAATTTGTTTTAAAAACGGTCACAAAGACATATAATATTGCACATAATTCTGAATCCTTTGGTTAAGAATACTTGTTTGCAAGGAAGTATATTACTACTCGTAAGACTAAGATCTTTTAGTTACAGCATAAAAACATTTTGTACACTCAATATTTGGAGTTATTCAGTTTCTCATGGTTAAAAGTAAATATATACAAGTTCTGGTGAGTCAAATTTATGAGTTGGAGAACAGTTTAACATTTTTCATAATGGTCATAGTTAACCTGCACTGGTATGTAAGGAAGAGCCAGAGGGATACAACATAAAACAGATTCCTTCCAAAGCTGTGGCATTTGACACTTGATGTGTTTTCCCAGATGGCTCCTGTGCAGTTGACTCTTTTTAAGAGGTTTTCAAAATCATCTGATGACAATTATAATATCGGGCAACAACTCAAATCCTAAAATCACCATCTTTCTAAATATCAAAATATAATCTTAAATTCAACTCCAGCGATTAGAAAAACTCTGACGCCAACTGAGTATCTTATACTACACTAACCAGAAACCTGGTAACCCCTTTTGTACCCTCGGCTTACGGAATCTTGAGGACTTGGGCAGGGGAAGGTAGCCTGGGTACCATCCTACTTGTATGCCGGGGCGC